TGGATATCAACATTTGTTTCGGCTGTTTTAACATATAGCTGTTCCGCGCATGTATTCATATATTACGTTATATCATTTCTGGTTAACGGGAAAACTTTTCACTTCTAGTTCGTTTTCAAACTGATCGCATCAACTGTATTTTCACAATTTTTCTATGGAGCATCCTTTTTAGCTAGTCTAGTCTTTTGAAGCTCATCGATTTTTTTGTTCGTCATTTGTTATCTTCATTTGTAAGACTAGGTCCAGCTTCTTGACAGGGGCAGAAATGAAACATATACCCCTTGCTTCAAAAAGGTTCTTATATTAGTTACAATATCCAACAACAATCAAATTCCTCTCGTGTAGTGGCTTTCGCTTTTGCATTGGGGTCTAGGTGCTTGAGGTATGACACAGCTATATTTTCAAGAAAGCGAAATCGGTTTCACTTTGCCTCGTTTAACTTGTATTTTTCTTCATTTAAGTCCCAATTTTTATACAATCCTGCGGGCAATCATGTGGACAAATAGAATAAAGATAAGGATAGATATACACAAATTGTTCAGTTTTTGAATAAACGTTTCAATTGTTACAGTTTTCCTTGTGAAAACAATTGACGGGACACCGAACACATCTTCTCACCTTTTTTCAAGCAAGTCTATTTCACTCGAGAAGAATGGGTGAATTTTGTTGTTGGTTGATTCATGTATAGAAAGATTGGTTTTTTATCTTAGTGGGCAGCCAAGCTTTAGTGCTTTAAAATTGATCATTTTCTGCCTTGCTTCAAGGTTAGAAACAACATCTTTGCAGTTATACTGCTGTAGATAAAAAGGTTGACTTGTTGTCCAGCTCCCAAATAGATTTTAAATGATTGTAGGTTTCTAGTCCTCTAGGTGATTTAGTTTTTAATCCGAGTTTTCTTGCTTGCTCCTTAGTTAACCCTTGCTTGAGAATGTTCTTGAAAAACGTCATTATTACATCGGAGGAAGGCCTGTTCTTCAACTTGCTTTATAAGACATCCTACAGTGCTAGTTGTTGTTCATCGAGCTTGTTGGGAGTATCATGCCAGTCGTCGGGAAAGTAAATTCTCATCTCACTGGCTTCTTAAGCTCTAGAAAAGAGTCTAAGGTAGTGCTCCGCCCAAAAACTAATGTCCAGCAGCTGAATAGCCCGTTATACCCAAACCTGAAAAATAAGTCAATGCCTTTCTTGCTATCTGAAGGTTCAAGTTTCTTTTCATTGAAATGGTAGGGAATTACCTATGATTCAAAGAGGATGATATCATAGCGGCCACTGTTCAAACCATATGCTGGTAGTGCTGTATTGGTGTGTATCTCTAGATACTGCAATAGATCAATCAATTGATTTTAGTGAATCCTGAGAAAGTGGGTAGGTGCGTCGGTTTCTCCCTCATCGTTGAAAGATGCCTCGTTTTTTAAAGATGCTGAAAGTTGTATGTATGGGCTTTTTGATGTTACTTGCGTTTTATTTTAAATCTTTTCAAATCACAATTTCAACTTACTCACAATTTCAATTATTCGGAATTATGGATTGTTGTCACAAAAAAATGGGTTTATTGATCACACTTGGTGAAACTGATACTAAATTGCGTACACGTTTACCAATTCTTTCTATTGTTTTTGTCGATTGCAAATCTCAGGAAAAAACACAAATTGATTTAAGTCAAAAATGGCGACATTTTGTAAAATACAATTTGCTCTTTGGTACACTCAAACGTCTCACGTGAAATGCAAAAAAGATTCGGGTAAAACTTTTGAAAAGTGTTTTCATAGAAAATGCTTGTTTTAGTTGTTTGCTTTCAGGAAACTTGCAACTTTGGCACCGAAAGCATTTGAACCAACTGTCGTTAAGATTGTCGTAAAAATATGGTTTTCACATCGTAGACTTTTCTCAGTGCTCTCGTATTTACCGATACTTGTCCTCCATCTTCAAGTCGATATCTTAATTATGAAGGGAAATGTTTTTCTCTATAACATCTTCAACTATTGGCAAAATATCCATCGAAACTCCACAAAACTGTTTCGGATCTTACCTCAATTTTTCAAAAAAAGTCCCTAACGATTCTCGATTTGGATGTTTTAAGGTTAGTTGGTCTGAACATGTTGAAACGAACTATCCTGAGGTTCTTGACTCGAGCAGATACGTGGCTCAACCAGTCGACGAACTCAATTTTCCTTGCGAGTTTGTATAAAAAATATATTCTGGACACAAAATAACTCCTCGAACACATCATTTTTGATGTCGAGCAGCATGCAACAGAACATACATTTTACTGAAGTCCTTGCATTTCTCTTTTTTACCTGTTGAGAACTGGCATCCGAAAAAAATGGAGATTTAAAAAATAAAGTATAGAGCAGTTACTTATAAGTATAACAAAATCAGAAAGAAATTGATTTTATTTCCTGTTGCTTGAATGAACCCAACTTATCAGAATCGATTGTTTTTCACTATCACCCTTGCTTCAAGATCAACCAATCAGGGTCCAGCATTTCAATGAGTGGTCTGTTTCTTTAATAAAAATTCTTTTATTATTATTTGAAAAAAATCTGTCAGGAAATATTTGAATTTTATTTTTTATTCTTTACACAAAAAACGGAAAAAATCCAATTGATAATCTTATCGAAGAAAGGGACCTTGAACTTAAGTCTTTTCTGTTTTTTGGACACTTGAATTGTTGAAAGCAGATTTCTTTGCTTTAGGGGCGGTTTACTCAGGGAATCGTACTGAAAAAAAAAAGATGCGTAACTTATTCCGTACCTAAAATGCAATGTGGTCAAAAACACCCACTTAAGTTTCCTTTGTTTTATTTTCCACCGTAATTTGAATAGCTCAAGCTCATGTATGATAAAACTTGGATTACGAATCATGAAATTTGTTTTAAGAAGTTCATTAATTTTGAGTTTTCTTTGAAACTTTTTGAAAATGTTAAAGAAATTGAGTGTAGGCTATTATTTTAACGTTTGCATATTGATTACAAAAAGGAAATGTATAATAGGACTTGATCAGAAAGTCATCAGAAACTTTTGCATTTTTTTATTTTTACCTCATTTATAAATGCCATTTTTCGAATCTTTACGGAGAAAACTATATGGTCCTTCATTTTTGCGATTTCTCCAGTGCTCATATATTGGTTTTTGGAAAAGAGATAAGTTATTTAAAATTTTAGTTTGTGAAGATTTTATAAAGAATAAGGCTGTGGAAACAAACAAATTATTGACTTTTTTTTTGAACACGAGTTTAGCGATAACTTTCCAAAAAGGATGCTTACGTTCTATGGTAGTAAAATTGTCTCTGCTTGGTTAAACCCACACATCTAAATTTCATACAAGTTTTTGGAAATGAAAATGAATAAAATTTTGCCATCGTAAGTTGAAAAAAAACTTAGGAAGAGCTTGACAAATAACAGTAACCATCAAGAAGAATGGTTTTAATCTAAAGTGGTTGATTTCATAGTATTAGGAACATCTACGTAAGATCTATGTATGGACAATTTAAAACCATATACCTTCTCGGCCTTCTCGGCTGTCAGATAACATGGAAAAATTGACAAAAACAATTGTGTATGCTTTTGGTAGATTTTTGGTGGTTATGCTTGATTTGAAAATAAACTGAAAGAACCTGTAAAAGGCAAATTTCCTCCAACTAAACTATTTTTTCCTAAATTGAACTTCCCAATTTTGCTTTTATTTTCTCTACAAATCAGGATTAAAAATGTTCAGGTGAAAACTGGTGTTTGGGATATTTTCGAAGAGTTACTTGTTTTTGCCGCAGAAATCCTTAGATTTCCAACATCTAAAAACTTTTCCCTCAAATTTTAAGTTTTGCGGTAAGCAAATCTCCTCAACTGATTGTTGCAGTAGCCGTTTTCTGACAAAGGTCTTTTCTGTGCAGACTGTTTAAAAAAGTAGATTGTGGACGACCTAAGTTTCATTTTTTCCAACTAAAATCAGGTATGGTTTGACTGTGCTCGACCTATGTTTTAACTTTCTCGAACTATGTTTCGACCTTCTCGACTAAAATTGTTAACGTTTCGACTCCCTGGACCAAAATTGGGTATGGTTCAATATATTGAAATTGGGAATACTGCAATTGCTCGACTTTGAAATTTAAACCAAAAAACGAGCACCTCGAACAACAAAAAACGAGCAAAAAACGGTTTACAGATGTTGCTTGTGTGTTATTGACTAATAAACTATACATTAGTTTTAAGTTTTTATCTTTTGATATGACTACAATTTTAGTTTGTGTCAAGCACAGTAGAGTTATATTGCTTTGGCTTGAGCTCTTATAAGAGCAACTCTTGATAGTTTGAGTACAGCCGAAATCTACCTACGTCTCTGCTTCTCAACCGAAAGGGGACTGTTTCAATGATGAACGTCATTCTTAACTAGGTTCACAAAAGCAGTTATCCGCAATAAGCTGAATAGCTCGTATATGGGACCTTTTCATCCTCAAAAATTTTCTGAGAAAATTTGGTTAAAAAAAGCCGACTCATTAAGCAGATGATTGCAAAGTAGTATAAGCAACTTGAAAATAAACTTAGCATAAAGCATTGTTAATAGTCAAGGAAACGCCGATGACTTATCGCAGAGACGTTGCTGCAGGCACAACCAAAGATTTTAGTAAAAGCGTAACAAGCGCTTGTGGCCTGAATTTGTGGTAAGTCAGGCACATATTGGTATCATAAAAATGATCAGCAAAATGGGAGGTTTTCATGGGAAGCGTTTTATCTTTCCGTAAACCTGTTAGTAAGCCTCTGTTAATTCACGCTAAAACTCATAACAGCTGAAGAGTTTTCAGTCATGTGAAAGTCGTTATTGACTTTACCTAGTCTTCAAAAAGTGAAGTTATTGCAGTTCTAATTTCGAAGAGACTACAGATTTATCAGATCAAAGTGGTTTCAAATTAGATCCATTACTATCTCAGTTTCGTCAGTTTCATAAAACTGACTTCCTGTTCGAAGAGTTGATACAGAAGAAGGTAATTTATAGTTTCGTATATGCTGTTAGAGAAAATATCAGCGCTATTCTGATCCTCTCAAGAATGTAACTTCTGCAATTATTCAAGCGGTGCGTGTTAAAGTCAAAATATTTAGATAAAAACAAAAGCGTTTTCCTTGTTTTCTTATTTTAAACACACTCGACGTGTTTTCCCGGCTTTTTGCTTTCAGGTTTCTCTGCTCTCTTTTTACGACAAATCGTTTTTCTTAAAATTTATGATATATTTTTTCATCAAGAAACTACTATTTAAAAAAGACACCGCTAAATCTAAATTTAAACACACTGAAGCCTGCTTGATCTATGTTTAAAGACAAGGGATCGAATAGCTCTTTATCTTTGCTTGCAAGTTCAATACAGTTTTATTTTGGCGCTTTTCTTGTTTACCAAAACAATCAAACTAGAAAGCAATCAAAATATTTTTAGTCGTTTTCTGAACTTCCGTTTTGATGTACAGAAGATTTTTGTTTGTTTTTATCTGATCCGGAAACGTAACAAGACATAGGTCAGTTGTTTTTCAGACAGATTCGTGAGACAGCTGTAATATCCTTTTAAATTTTGATTTACTTGCTTTCACCATTTATTATCTTATCCGTCTAATCACAGAAAAAAGTATTAATAACGGCATCGGATAGTATTAACTGTGACCAAATTGGTTTAATTTTTTTTTGCCTTACTTTCAATTTATCGAATACTTGAATCAATTAGTTAATTTAGTTGATCACAACCAGGAAAATAATCTCTAATTTTTAGTTTCGTTATGCTGTAAGCTCCCAAGTTTCGAGCTATCGACTCTGGGTGCTTGTGAAGTGGTGTTTCAAAAAGAGCTTCCTCCCCCCATGCACCGTCTCATTTCTCGATTTCATTGACACCCCGTCTTTTTCTATGTTGCCGATTTGCACAAAGTTTCAAACCACTTCAAACCACTTCTCGAGGGGTTGGTTGAGGATTTTCAAAGAGTTTTTGAAAATTTTTTCGACTGTTTTAGGTTGACCACAATGATTATTAGACCTCCCCAAAAACGATGAACAACCTACATAAATAATGACAAAGTTTCTGAAACGCAGCCAAATTTATGAAGAAAATGCCTCAAAATGACATTTTTAGTCACTCTTTGGAAGTTTTTGATTTAAAAAAATGCGTTTTCTCGACGCGCGCTCCCTCAAGAATTGAGTATATATTGACGCCAAATATCTATTTGCTGATCAATTTCTGTCATTCGGTTCTTTTCTCACGAGGCAGCCCCCTCTTTCAATCACTGTCTGGGTTCGTAATCTACTCGACCACTGTGTCCAAATAGAGGCGGCGACTGATTAAATTCACTCCTTTTTTTGAAGCACTTAACCAAATTTGAATGCTTTTGAAATTACTAAGGGTGATTTTGAGGGTAAAATCATTTACAAATTTTCAATCTAGAGAGACTATTCAAGGTGTCAAGGTCATTTAACCCTTCAATAAATTACAAAATTGGACTTGAGATGCTTGCTCAAACGTGTGCTTAAGTAAATTTAAAATTTTTTAATTGTTTGTTACTTAAAATTACTTTTTTCCCCAAATGCTAACCAATTATGGTCAGAACAGATTTTCACAGTCAAGCGCAGAGTTCTGGAAACACAACTCTAATTTAGCTTTTCTTCGAAATCGCTTTGGGCTTCAAAGCACAGAATAAATCGATTTGATTGTGGGTAAAATGCCAATATTGCCCGAGGCTCAACGCTTAACTAGTTACAATTTCTTGATACGCAGTCTCTTTGAAATTATGAGGATATGGCTCAATTCACAAGAGTCTCTGAATTAAAATACAGAGGATATATTTTGAAAGGAACAAATATAAATAGATTAACTTCCCAGAAGGGTGGATGCGTAAAAAAGATTGCTGATAACGATGGCGGTGGTTATTTTCTTGCGTCTCGTCGGAACCGCGGGTGCCTCGTGTAAAATAGAATTGAAACAGAGCTATCTTAATTTAAGCACCCCCCAGGTGCCCAAAACGTGATCAAGTGAAAAATTAATCTGGATAACCGATCAGTCAAAACAAACCATGTTTTATATACCCCCTAACCTCCCCCGGCATTCGACCCCAACCTTGAAGTCAGTTCATTTTGAGTATTTGAAGTTTTCGATGAGAAATTATTTTGAAAATTTTTTTAAGGGGTTGTCCGTTATTTCTCATTAATTAGCAAAGCAAGCAAGATTTTCAGCTATATCCAAGTCAAATCATCAGTTTATTATTTATTAACTATTTTGCAGTAAAATCAGTTTGTTTTGATTGTTCATCTCTGTTTCAAATTTTGAAGCTATTCAAAAATTGGTTACTTATTTGGATCTACTTAACCAGGGGCGGATTTAGGGGTGGGGTGGAAATTTGACATCTTGGTTGAAAATTCGGCAATTTAATCTACTTAACAACCCCCCTGTCTTGAAAGGGGGGGGCAATTGTTAAGTAGATTCACTTATTTTAAAATTTCGACAGTAATTTTTTTTTTTTTATTAGTGATGCGGTATTTTGGCTTTTCCGCTTAACTTGAAGCATTAAGTTTGTTTGGACTATTATATTAAAGAGGTCTTCATGTTTGCTCGAAGTTTGATCACATTACATATTGTTTGTTACTCTTTATTGTGTCAATCAGAACCTCCATACATTTTAAGAGTAAGCCAACCAACCGTAAGTGGGTATGATGTCTACATTTTATAGTCTAAACTGGAAGCAGCGAACCAGTTCTAACTGGCTTTTACTTAGCCCCGCCTTAATTTGATTAACCAGTTACTGAAAGGTTCTCTTCCTAGAATCGCTAAAAAGCCAGAAATTTATTGGAATTTGCCTTTCAAGTGTCCAAAAAAGGATAGAGCGGAATTTAAATTGTTTTCTGATCTCTGATTACAAGCTGTGTCAAAAAACTCATTTGAGTTCCAATGTATTTTATGGCTATTTCGTTTACCTGAGGAGTTAAAAATCAACAAATCGCCCTGTCCGAAGGAAACCTGAGAAAAAAGAAGAAGAAGCCATATATTGTTCATTTTATTGTAGCTACGCCCTGATACCTGATTTAAATTGGTTCTTGTGCCAATATTTGTCATCCCCTGGGAGTATAAACGGCAGCGAACCGAACATTGCTTGTCTAACGATTGAAAAGCATTCGAGAGCAGTTGGGCTACGGCTGATTCATGATAAATGCACCATCTGAAAGAGACATTTGTACTTTTAAATAGCCCTGATTCTTATTTCCTTCGCCCACGCTAGAAAACGCATGTTACACTTGCGAGCTGATATTCAGTATCTCACGAAGTAACTATTTTATTTTCTCTGTTATTTTTTACTTCTAAAATTACTCAACAAGACCAAATAATTGGGGATCAAAACTGACATTGAAGCCAGAAGCTTTCGTGGCAAAAGTACCTGGATAACTTGGTAATGATCCTGAATGGGCGCAAATAAATTAATATGGGAAGAATTTCTGAAATTGAGGGCAGAAGAAGCACAGGAAAGGGAAAAGCATTCAAAATACTACGTGAGTAATTTTGTTCTTCCGACTTTCGATTGGAAGCAAGTTTTGGAGCGGTTTGATATATCATTTTCGGGGACGGAATAATAAACCCTTTTGCATGAATTTTTACAAGGAAAGAAGACCGCTCGTACAAGGGCAAAGCCCTGAATGTGCCGACCGCCCTTCAAAATCTATGGAGTAGTGTTCTCGCTTAACAAAAATCAGAAATTTTCAAAAAAATATATATATATTTTTTTTCAGATTGTTTTGCGAAAGTTATCCCGCCACTCGCTATGTTAAGTACAAAGTAATACATTTAGCATATAGCTAAGTTTTAAATAGATCAAATAGCATGCCTCAACTTACTTTTGATAGATTTCTAAGGGGGACTTAATCGCCGCTTACGCTTTACTAGCACAAAATATATCGCTCCTTAACTAGCCCAAAATGGCATGCTTTAGCCCCATAACGTTGCAAAAAAGGACAACAGGTGAAAAATTTGAGCTCAAGTCGACAATACCTTTTGGCTGATATAAAAAATGTCCGACTAAAATGGCTTATTAAAAAGTAAAAGTTTGTCTGGAGAAAAAAAACGCGTACAGAGTATTCGACAAAAGACAATTCAGACGATATGAAATTCAGACAATTCAGCCAAAAGTTTTCAGACAGAGACAAATCAGCCAATATTAGTTACCGCCCCAATTGTGCCAACTAAATGTCTTTTTTTTTCGGGCTGAATTGTTTGATTTTATAATTGGCCGAATTGACTGTGCGCCAAAAAAACACCCCGTGCACAAAAACTCCGTCACTTTCATCAAAATTCGGCACAAAAAGGCCTAATGTTTTACAACAAAAAACTTTTTGAAAACTTCACCTGCCATTACTTTTTGCAAAGAAAGTCAATTAAATGTTTAAAAAACTGCCTGGTGAAAGCTTCCAGCTAATTATTATAAAAAAAAAATTTCCGGTGCATTTCGCGTGGGCAAAGATGAATTGAGATCGATTTTGATCAGATTAAAGAGCTTAGCCTTAAACATTTTGGTATTAAAATTATAATTAACCAATCTAAATTAACCAACTTGAAAAATCACTTTTCTGTTTTTTGATGTTTCATTTTTCTAAGCATTTTGTCGAGTTCAATCAATTTTATTTGCTATATTTTTTATTTGCTGGTCCGTTTTATTTGAATTTCATGCATCAAGAAAATGTCGGAAAATTGGCAATTGGCTATTTCATGATAATCCTGCTCGATTTATTTTTCTTAATGCGAAGCCAAACTGTCTCACTGTTTTGACTCTGTAGTCATTCCTTATTTAATTGAGACAAACTATTTGCTCTCAATAAATCAATTTTTCGTGCCTTTTTGGATTTATTGGATTGAATCATGATATTCAAATAAACTTCAAAGATTTTCAATAAAAGTTTTGCGAAAACTTGATTTCTTTGGATGATTTTTTGTATCAAATTATTTCTATTAAGCAGTATTAGTAATTCTGCTTTTTTTATTACTAATTTTTTTTTAAGCAGCAACAAACAAATAATCGTATTGAAATCACGAATTTTTTTTTTCGAAAGCATAGTTTTAAGCATTAATCGGCCAAACAAATTGACTTGAATCATTTTGAAATAGATTTTTAGACACTAAACTTGGCCTGTAGAGACAACTTTTGAAACTAAATTTAATAGATTTTAGTGGGGTTCCGATAGATGTTGCTGATTTTTTAATTTATGTTGCTGATAATCATATGAATTTTAGAAACAACCAAAAGTCATTCAAATCAATTTAAATGAATTATAGCCACCTACTTGGATCTTACAGTTTCAGGGCAACAAGTTTTCACATGAAAAATTAAATTAAAAATCGTTTCAGATAGCAGATAGTATCTTTCTATAAGGTTATATGAACTGAAATATGATGTAAGAAAACTTCAACTCAATCCTTAACGTTTTCGTCAGCGCCAGATGATACACAGCCAATTTCTGGGATAGAAGACAAAAATCGAAACTGCAGTTTCTTTGTTTCTCTTTTTGCAAACTGAAAACATTTCTGTTGCTTAATTAGGAAAAAAATTTAATGAATTTGATTGCAGTAGAAATCTTTCTGTCGAATTATCATATGATCACTCAAAATGGTTCATCACAGAAAGTTAAAACAATCGTTTTTTCAAAACTCCTAGCGCTTTTTATGTTTTAATGAAAAAATGTGCGTTTTCAATTTTCTAAATGAAAAATTTCTCAAATACTTTTTGAAATTTTTATTACGACTGAATAAATGACCAATGACTTTAAAATTTCTTTTCCTATTTCTTCCAAAATATTTTGCACTATAAATATCTATCAAAAATTCGAGAAACAGTTTAAGCAAAATATAAAAAAACGTATCGATTATAATTCTATCTTAAGTTCTTAGCATAACAACTATCGTTAAAGTTTTTCTTGATCATTTTGAAAAATGACAAGCTTAACTTCCTTGGGCTTCATTGTTTTGTTTCAAGAAAATTAAATTTGCAGTAAAGGAAGTTTTTCAAAAAAAATCTTGTTCAAAAGACCGAAATATTCTGAGATTATTGATAGTAGTTCGTTTCGACCACTCTACAGGAATGTCAAGGAACTAGGACAAGGTCTGAAGTTTGTCTGAAACCTTTTGTCTTTTTTAAAACTTTTTCCGCTTATTAAAATAACTGCTCGATAAGGGCAGAGCAACAAAAGCTGTTTATCAAAAAATTAGCGCTTCTCAAAAATTCACAGCTTCTAGGATACGCATGTTAACAACATTTTTTATCATAAAATTGATCTTTTGCTTTTAAATGGCTACTTAGATCTTGATTCATAAATTTGGTCTGCAATTCTTACGCTTAAAATTAGCAAGCGATATCAAATGCGAGTTTTCTGTTTCCACTTGAAAACATTGTTTAGTAGATTCCTTGAGTTTTTTGATGAATTAGTTTCCAATTTACAATATTCCAAATCTTATACAGCAAGTTTGGTCGTTTGATATATACATGAGGAGATAACATACAACCTCTACTCTCTTTTTTTTTTTGCTGTATTCAGTTTTGAGATTGAATGCTTTGTACTGGGGATCTAGAATTTTTTTTGTAAACAGCTTTTCTTGTTTAGCTCAACTTTTTATGGCGTCATTTTGTTTTCGGATTAACATGCTTCAACCTAAGTGGATTGAAAAAATTAACTCTGGGAAAATTTTCCACACTTTTTCCACAAAATAGAAACAATTGCCAGCAAACAGGAGGAATTTTTGTAGTTTAAGTTTTTTTGGAATTGAGTTTATTGAGTTTTTCGTCCACCTCTTAATTCTTCCGTATTCATATTTCTATCACACCCACACATAGTGTTTGGTCCACATAATCAGTGTTTTATCCATAACAGGCTAGTTTCTTTGCCTATTTTGAATTTAGTACTTAGGAGAAGATGACTAGCCGTGATGTTTTTTTTGTTATGTTTTAAAAGTACTTGGACATTGGTGGTGTAACGCGTTTTTAAAATTTTCGACGGATTGAGTTTTTGGTATGGATTGTTGTTTTTTCGATGATTTTACACTAGACTTCTGTTATGATTGAACCCTGAGTTCCTTAATCACTTCTTTTTGAGTTGGCTTAAACTAAATTAGTAATTCACATCTACTGATCTTCGAATTGTTTGACTGAATGTTCCTCACAAACTTTCGTTTGATTGAACAACAAATATTTTTGCTGGCCAAAGTTTTTAGTTTAATCAATTGGATTTTATCACTCGAGGTTTAGATTTTTCATCAATCAACCCATATATCAAGTTGATAAGCTCAACATTTGAAGTGACTAAGTACTCTTTGGTAAAAACATATGTGATTTTTTTTTATTTAAATTTTACTTCGTGCAGGATACTTAAAAAAACAAACTGCTTATTAAAAATTGCTCAACTCTATTCAATTTTGGAAATTTCACTCTACAAGACAAAATGACCGATTTTGAGATGCGTTTTTATCTTAAACACTTTGAACTTATGACTCGAAAAAGTAGTTCGTAACTAGACAACTAGACAAAACTTTGGGTTTATTTTATAGAATGATACCTCTGAATTTTGTTTCGCTCGAGAAATCGATGAGTTGATAATCAAACCAAGTTTTGAAAAAGCACTAATAGAGATTTTGTTTTATTACTATGTTGTACCTCCTGTGTATCTAATTGCTATCTCAAAACAAAAACTGAGTCTTGATATAAAATTATTAGTTTCCAGTTTTGACTTTTCAAACAACTTTTTGTCTTTTTTTAAACTAATTCTGCTTATTAAAATAACTGCTCGATAGGGAGAGAGCAACAAAAGCTGTTTATCAAAAAATTTGCGCTTCTCAAAAAATTCACAGCTTCTAGGATACGCATGTTAACAACATGATTTTGTCATTAAATTGATCTTTTGCTTTTATATGGCTACTTATATCTTGATTCATAAACTTGGTGTGCATTGTTACGCTTGGTTTAGCAAGCGATATCAAATGCGAGTTTTCTGTTTCCACTTGAAAAAATTGTTTTGGAGATTCTTTGAGTTTTTTGAGGGCTTAGTTTCCAAATTATAATATTCCAAATCTTATACTGCAAGTTTGGTTGTTTGATAACATACATAAGGAGATAACATACAACCTCTACTCTGACTGAGGTTTGCAACCCAATCGGGATCTCTTTTTTTGCTGTATTCAGTTTTGAGATTGAGTGCTTTGTACTGGGGATCTTGATTTTTTTCTGTAAACAACTTTTCTTGTTTACCTTAACTTTTTTATGGCATCAATTTGTTTTCGGATTAACATGCCTCAGCCTAAAAACTATCTCTGGAAAAACAATTTTGGTTTTTCCCATTTTCGACAATTCTGTGACACTTTATCCTCGAAAAAAATAATTGCAAGCAAACAAGAGGAAATCTTGTAGTTCAAGTTTTTTCCATTTTTTTTTCAATTTCTTGACTTGTTTGCTTTCATATCATTTTCTGTGACACAATCGTCGGTCTATCGTTTGTCTTTTTGCAGTTTTCCACTC